GTGTGTGTGTGTGTGTGTGTTACAGTTGAGAGGCGGGACCAAAGTGCCAGGGACCAGATTCACGAAAGCAGTTACGCAAACACTTACGAATGTTTACATCTTTCCTCAATCTTTGACGGCTTTGGTTACATTTATTAAACAGTTTACAAGCATGAAAACTTCCCAATCAACTGTTGTTATTGTTATAAACAGCCTCCTGGTGCTTCGGAGCTCATCAACTGTTTAATAATTGTAAACAAAGCCGCCAAAGATTGAGAAAAGATGTACAGGTTCGTAAGTGCTTGTGTAACTGCTTCACGAATCTGGCCCCAGAGCTCAACACCTGCAAGCGCAACTAGGTAAGTACGCGCGCGCGCACGCTCGCACACGTGTCAACGTATTGTTGACACATGTGACACATTCATGAAGGTTCTCCCTTGTCCAGTGATTGAATATTTACACAGGACCCCCCTCCCTCCCTCCCCCCCCCCACACCTGCTTGTATATCACAGGTGTCTGGTTGTGTAACAGTAGTACCAGGTGTGTCTGACACGTGTGCGTGTGTGCGTGTGTGTGTGTGTGTGTGTGTGTGTGTGTGTGTGTGTGTGTGTGTGTGTCCGTCCATTCTTGTGTGTTGGGACAGTTTAATGTATGTGGTAGCCTGGGGCGTGTCTGACACGGCCAAACACGTGTCTGACACGGCCAAACACGTGTGTACAGGACAGGTGTGCCGTGCCCAGTCAGTTAACACTGTCAGAGGATCACTGGAGTGTTGAACGTTACCTGGAAGGCCAAGAACCTGGCCCCGGATTAACGAAGCAGTTACGCAAGTACTTACAAACGTGTATATCTTTCCCTCAATCTTTGACGACTTTGGTTGCATTTATTAAACAGTTTACAAGCATGAAAACTTGCCAATCAACTGTTGTTATTGTTATAAACAATATACAACAGCGAAGTGCCCCGAAGCGCCTCCTGGTGCTTCGGGGCTCATTAACCTGATTAATAATTGTAAACAAAGTCGACAAAGTTTGATAAAAGATGTACAGGTTCGTAAGTGCTTGCGTAACTGCTTCGTGAACCTGGCCTCAGATGCGAATTCCCGGTTCGAGTTTCTTTCCCCCCCCCCCCCAACCACCACTGTCCCAGGGCAGCCCGTCCTCCAAACAAAGATCCAAAAGTCCATGCACCCGCCAACCCCCCTATGTATGGATGAAAAACTGTTTACACACGACTCACAACTGATTTCGTTCGAACACTTCCGGAACAAGTGCTTCATTGACGAATTCTGTTCGAACCATAACGCTGTAAATGCTTCACCCACGTACTACAAATACAAATAATCGCCAACAGAACCTAAACACCTAACCTAACCTATGCCTATATATGCACAATATGCTAATATATTATAATATTAATTTGAGAAAATTCCCGTTTTGAATGAACAGCATGTTAAAATTTATGAATGCGTCTGTGGGGTCGGCCGCTGGATGGAATGGACTTGAGTCGAGGACGGGTTGGCCTTGGGATAGTTGGGGACAAGTGGGCCAGGTGTCATCCAAGCTTGGACGCCAAAGCACCAGCCTACCTTACCTTGAGGATACATTGAGGTGCTTTCGGGGCTTAGCGTCCCCGCGGCCCGGTCGTCGACCAGGCCTCCTGGTTGCTGGACTGATCAACCAGGCTGTTAGACGCGGCTGCTCGTAGCCTGACGTATGAGTCACAGCCTGGTTGATCAGGTATCTTTTGGAGGTGTTTACCCATTTCTCTCTTGAACACTGTGAGGGGTCGGCCAGTTATGTCCCTGAAGGTCTCGCTTCATGCAGGTCGCCGTTCAATCCCCGACCGTCCACAAGTGGTTGGGGCACCATTCCTTTCCCCCGTCCCATCCCGAATTCTTATCCTGACCCCCTTCCCAGTGCTATATAGTCGTAATGGCTTTGGTTCTTTCCATTGATTTATTTAATATTTGAAAGATGTGGACCCTGCGATGGTGTAGAGGGGGGGGGGGGGGTAGTGGTGAGGTGTGTGGGCGGGGGGGTAGTGGTGGGGTGTGTGGGCGGGGGGGTAGTGGTGGGGGGTGTGGGCGGGGGGGTAGTGGTGGGGTGTGTGGGCGGGGGGGTAGTGGTGGGGTGTGTGGGCGGGGGGGTAGTGGTGGGGTGTGTGGGCGGGGGGGTAGTGGTGGGGTGTGTGGGCGGGGGGGTAGTGGTGTGGGCGGGGGGGGTAGTGGTGGGGTGTGTGGGCGGGGGGGTAGTGGTGGGGTGTGTGGGCGGGGGGGGGGTAGTGGTGGGGTGTGTGGGCGGGGGGGGTAGTGGTGGGGTGTGTGGGCGGGGGGGGGGGGTAGTGGTGGGGTGTGTGGGCGGGGGGGGGTAGTGGTGGGGTGTGTGGGCGGGGGGGGTAGTGGTGGGGTGTGTGGGCGGGGGGGTAGTGGTGGGGTGTGTGGGCGGGGGGGGGGTAGTGGTGGGGTGTGTGGGCGGGGGGGGGGGGGGTAGTGGTGGGGTGTGTGGGCGGGGGGGTAGTGGTGGGGTGTGTGGGCGGGGGGGTAGTGGTGGGGGGTGTGGGCGGGGGGGTAGTGGTGTGGGCGAGGGGAGGGGGGTGGTAGTGGGGATGGGGGTGGAGGAGGAGGTCGAAGCTCTCCATACCTGGCCAAGTGCTGTATAAACAACTTGACTTCAGTTTACAGTGAGTGGAGGGCATATACCTGCTGCTGCTGCTCTACCTGCACGTGGTAGCTGCCCCTGCAGGTGTGTGACCCCGAGGGGGGTAGGGAGGGGAGGTGGTGTGGAGGGTGCTGGTTCACTGGTACCCCTCCACCCCCCCCCCTTCTGTAAGGGGGGGTGGGGGTTGTCAAGTACCCCGTTTCCTTGACTTGTTCCTTCCCTTCTGCAGCCACTCCCACTTCCTCAAGTGTTATCAGTAATGGTCGTAGCGTTCCCTCTCAAGAGCACTAACACTAGGACTTGTGTATGTATGTATGTATGTATGTATGTATGTATGTATGTATGTATGTATAGAGTTTCTTTCACCCTATGCCCCTGTTACCTAACAGTAAAATAGGTACCTGGGTGTTAGTCAGCTGTCACGGGCTGCTTCCTGGGGGTGGAGGCCTGGTCGAGGACCGGGCCGCGGGGACACTAAAAAGCCCCGAAATCATCTCAAGATAACCTCAAGAAGGGTAGTGCTGGCAGAGAACTTCCCGCCAAACACACACCGAAACTACGACGTTGGTACAACGTACGAACAAGTTTTACCACCACCTAACCCGTTATAACAACCAATATAGCAAGTTGTAACAACGTTCTAATACGTCATAAACACGTTAAGCCAAGATGTAACAACTTTATTACAAGTTGTAGCAAGCGGAAAATAGAGACAGTTTCGGTTTGTGTTTCTAGGGTTCAGTCTCGCGTTGATGGGCCATTACACGGACAAATACAGGAGTAGCTATACACATAACAGGAGTAACAGGGGGTTATAACCCCTGGCAGGAGCCTCTAGCAGTGGGCTAGTAACGCTCCTTAATAGCACCTCACTGTCGGTCGTCTCTCCCGCTAGCCAGTCCTGGGATACGCCGAATTCTTCCCCTGCCACTCCACAGGCAGAGAGCAGATACCAGTGTATTTGGGGGGTGAGGCAGAAGACACAGATGGCGCTGACGTCGCTACTCCATACTCCGACGATGTAGTCGGGTTCGTAACACGCTTCCATTTTAAATACGAACATTTTTGGCCGGATGTAACGCATACGAGCGAAAAGCGACGTCCTTCGTCAGAGAACAGGTTTATAAAATACCCCCGTTGAAAAGCAGAGGTGCAACAGGTACTCTGAGAGAGAACTATCAACATCAGAGGCCCGAGACTGTTCAACACGCTTCCACTACACATAAGGGGCATAACTGGCAGACCCCTCACAGTGTTCAAGAGAGAACTATCAACATCAGAGGCCCGAGACTGTTCAACACGCTTCCACTACACATAAGGGACATAACTGGCCGACCCCTCACAGTGTTCAAGAGAGAACTATCAACATCAGAGGCCCGAGACTGTTCAACACGCTTCCACTACACATAAGGGACATAACTGGCCGACCCCTCACAGTGTTCAAGAGAGAACTATCAACATCAGAGGCCCGAGACTGTTCAACACGCTTCCACTACACATAAGGGACATAACTGGCCGACCCCTCACAGTGTTCAAGAGAGAACTATCAACATCAGAGGCCCGAGACTGTTCAACACGCTTCCACTACACATAAGGGGCATAACTGGCCGACCCCTCACAGTGTTCAAGAGAGAACTATCAACATCAGAGGCCCGAGACTGTTCAACACGCTTCCACTACACATAAGGGACATAACTGGCCGACCCCTCACAGTGTTCAAGAGAGAACTATCAACATCAGAGGCCCGAGACTGTTCAACACGCTTCCACTGCACATAAGGGACATAACTGGCCGACCCCTCACAGTGTTCAAGAGAGAACTATCAACATCAGAGGCCCGAGACTGTTCAACACGCTTCCACTACACATAAGGGACATAACTGGCCGACCCCTCACAGTGTTCAAGAGAGAACTATCAACATCAGAGGCCCGAGACTGTTCAACACGCTTCCACTACACATAAGGGACATAACTGGCCGACCCCTCACAGTGTTCAAGAGAGAACAGGATAAACACCTCCAAAGAATACCTGATCAACTAGCCTGTGACTCATACATCAGGCTGCGAGCAGCCGCGCCCAACAGCCTGGTTGGTCACCAACCAGGAGGCCTGTTTCAGAAACCGGGATGCGGGAACATTGATCCTCGAAACCAAAGCAAGGCAAACACAAGGTAATGAGAACACAAACACAAGGACCTCAAAATCTATGTCAAACGAAGAAGGGAGAGCAATTGACGACCTTTCATTACATCGAGAATATTGAGTTTGAAGGGACAATGGCAAAGGTTGTTCACCCTTGCAATAACCTTTCCAGGTAATGAACAGTGATTGGCGCCTATGTTCAATCCACCAATATTCTCTATCAATTGCCAGGACTCTCCGCCACTAGGCCAGGACTCTCCGCCACTAGGCCAGGACTCTCCGCCACTAGGCCAGGACTCTCCGCCACTAGGCCAGGACTCTCCGCCACTAGGCCAGGACTCTCCGCCACTAGGCCAGGACTCTCCGCCACTAGGCCAGGACTCTCCGCCACTAGGCCAGGACTCTCCGCCACTAGGCCAGGACTCTCCGCCACTAGGCCAGGACTCTTCCCCACTAGGCCAGGACTCTCCCCCACTAGGCCAGGACTCTCCGCCACTAGGCCAGGACTCTCCGCCACTAGGCCAGGACTCTCCCCCACTAGGCCAGGACTCTCCCCCACTAGGCCAGGACTCTCCCCCACTAGGCCAGGACTCTCCCCCACTAGGCCAGGACTCTCCGCCACTAGGCCAGGACTCTCCGCCACTAGGCCAGGACTCTCCCCCACTAGGCCAGGACTCTCCCCCACTAGGCCAGGACTCTCCCCCACTAGGCCAGGACTCTCCGCCACTAGGCCAGGACTCTCCGCCACTAGGCCAGGACTCTCCCCCACTAGGCCAGGACTCTCCCCCACTAGGCCAGGACTCTCCCCCACTAGGCCAGGACTCTCCCCCACTAGGCCAGGACTCTCCGCCACTAGGCCAGGACTCTCCGCCACTAGGCCAGGACTCTCCGCCACTAGGCCAGGACTCTCCGCCACTAGGCCAGGACTCTCCGCCACTAGGCCAGGACTCTCCACCACTATCTTGAGGTTATCTTGAAATGATTTCGGGGCTTTAGTGTCCTCGCGGCCCGGTCCTCGACCAGGCCTCCACCCCCCAAGAAGCAGCCTGTGACAGCTGACTAACACCCAGGTACCTATTTTACTGCTAGGTAACAGGGGCATAGGGTGAAAGAAACTCTGCCCATTGTTTCCCGCCGGCGCCTGGGATCGAACCCAGGACCACAGGATCACAAGTCCAGTGTACTGTCCGCTCGGCCGACCGGCTCCCCACTAGGCCAGTACTCACAATGAACAGTACAAGTGTTCAATACTCACAATGAACACTACAAATGGTCAATACTCACAACGAACAGTTTGTCATAATCACAATGAACATTGTGTGAACATCAGAGACTAGCGAGTCATTAACTGACAGCAAATATAGAAAATATTGCCAGAACATCGGTTGACATTTTCTGGAGAGGAGAATACCTGGTTGATGGGGTTCTGGGAGTTGTTCTACTCCCCAAGCCCGGCCCAAGGCCAGGCTTGACTTGTGATAACTTGGTCCACCAGGCTGTTGCTTGGAGCGGCCCGCAGGCCCATATATATATCCACTACAGCCTGGATGATCCAACACTTCTTGAAAGTGATCTAAGTGTCACTTGAATGCATTCACCTTTGTTCCAGTAATATTTCTAATGCTTGCTGGGAAGGTGTTGAACAGCTGTGGACCTCTGATGTTCAGACAGTGTTCTCTGATTGTGCCTATGGCACCTCTACTCTTCACTGGTTCTATTCTGCATTTCCTTTCGTATCGTTCACTTCAGTATGCTGTTTTCTAGTGTGCAAATTCGGGACCTGGCCCTCCAGTATCTTCCATGTGTATATTATTTGATATCTTTCTTGTCTTACAGGTACATCATTTACCTGACTAGCCAGGATGTGATGGCCAGGGCTCGCGAATCTGTGGCATGCGTGACAATGGTGGCATGCGTGACAATGGTGGCATGCGTGCCAATGGTGGCATGCGTGACAATGGTGGCATGCGTGACAATGGTGGCATGCGTGACAATGGTGGCATGCGTGCCAATGGTGGCATGCGTGACAATGGTGGCATGCGTGACAATGGTGGCATGCGTGACAATGGTGGCATGCGTGACAATGGTGGCATGCGTGACAATGGTGGCATGCGTGACAATGGTGGCATACAGTGCTGGCCCTTGATTCTTTAAACTCTACCCGTAATAAATAAATATGTAAAGTTTAGCATTACTGCCAAATGAAACGGTGAATGATTTTTTTGACCATCTCGGAGCAGTACTAAGTGTTCACAGACATCCCACACACGTCTGTGAACACCAAATTACGCCGATCTGACGCAGCAGAAATAAGCAACATGACACCTTTTTTTCCATTAGACAAAAATTAATCATTAACTTTGTCAATTCATAAATTTTACAACTATTTGAGTCACTAGTTACTAGTAACATTCCTAAACCTGTACCACTTAGAACAATTCAATTATTGCTTGCCTAAACAGCTCTGCTTTTAAGAATGCTTTCAAGCATTTTGTTCCATTTCTATATAAAAATGGGTAAAATATTAATACAACAATGTTAAATTATAATCTGCTGCCCAAAATTTCCATGCACACGGGAGATAATTTTTTTTTTTCAAGAATATTGCCAATTTGGGCACACGCTCTGAAAAAGGTTGGCCACCCCTGGGCCAGGCTACCTTACCTACTACAAGATAGGTAGGTAGGTAGGTAGATAGGTAGGTAGATAGGTAGGTAGGTAGGTAGATAGGTAGGGTAGGTAGGTAGGTAGGTAGATAGGTAGGGTAGGTAGGTAGGTAGGTAGGTAGGTAGGTAGGTAGGTAGGTAGGTAGGTAGGTAGGTAGATAGGTAGGTAGGTAGATAGGTAGGTAGGTAGGTAGGTAGGTAGGTAGGTAGGTAGGTAGGTAGGTAGGTAGGTAGGTAGGTAGGTAGGTAGGTAGGTAGATAGGTAGGTAGGTAGGTAGGTAGGTAGGTAGGTAGGTAGGTAGGTAGGTAGGTAGGTAGGTAGGTAGGTAGGTAGGTAGGTAGGTAGGTAGGTAGGTAGGTAGGTAGGTAGGTAGGTAGGTAGGTAGGTAGGTAGATAGATAGGTAGGTAGGTAGGTAGGTAGGTAGGTAGGTAGGGTAGGTAGGTAGGTAGGTAGGTAGGTAGGTAGGTAGGTAGGTAGGTAGGTAGATAGGTAGGTAGGTAGGTAGGTAGGTAGGTAGGTAGGTAGGTAGGTAGGTAGGTAGGGTAGGTAGGTAGGTAGGTAGGTAGGTAGTAGGTAGGTAGGTAGGTAGGTAGGTAGGTAGGTAGGTAGGTAGGTAGGGTAGGTAGGTAGGTAGGTAGGTAGGTAGGTAGGTAGGTAGGTAGGTAGGTAGGTAGGTAGGTAGGGTAGGTAGGTAGGTAGGTAGGTAGGTAGTGGGTAGGGTAGGTAGGTAGGTAGGTAGGTAGGTAGGTAGGTAGATAGGTAGGTAGGTAGGTAGGGTAGGTAGGTAGGTAGGTAGGTAGGTAGGTAGGTAGGTAGGTAGGTAGGGTAGGTAGGTAGGTAGGTAGGTAGGTAGGTAGGGTAGGTAGGTAGGTAGGTAGGTAGGTAGGTAGGGTAGGTAGGTAGGTAGGGTAGGTAGGTAGGTAGGTAGGTAGGTAGGTAGGTAGGTAGGTAGGTAGGTAGGTAGGTAGGTAGGTAGGTAGGTAGGTAGGTAGGTAGGTAGGTAGGTAGGTAGGTAGGTAGATAGGTAGGTAGGTATAGGTAGGTAGGTAGGTAGGTAGGTAGGTAGGTAGGTAGGTAGGTAGGTAGGTAGGTAGGTAGGTAGGTAGGTAGGTAGGTAGGTAGGTAGGTAGGTAGGTAGGTAGGTAGGTAGGTAGGTAGGTAGGTAGGTAGGTAGGTAGGTAGGTAGGTAGGTAGGTAGGTAGGTAGGTAGGTAGGTAGGTAGGTAGGTAGGTAGGTAGGTAGGTAGGTAGGTAGGTAGGTAGGTAGGTAGGTAGGTAGGTAGGTAGGTAGGGTGGAAGGTAGGTAGGTAGGTAGGTAGGTAGGTAGGTAGGTAGGTAGGTAGGTAGGTAGGTAGGTAGGTAGGTAGGTAGGTAGGTAGGTAGGTAGGTAGGTAGGTAGGTAGGTAGGTAGGTAGGTAGGTAGGTAGGTAGGTAGGTAGGTAGGTAGGTAGGTAGGTAGGTAGGTAGGTAGGTAGGTAGGTAGGTAGGTAGGTAGGTAGGTAGATAGGTAGGTAGGTAGGTAGGTAGGTAGGTAGGTAGGTAGGTAGGTAGGTAGGTAGGTAGGTAGGTAGGTAGGTAGGTAGGTAGGTAGGTAGGTAGGTAGGTAGGTAGGTAGGTAGGTAGGTAGGTAGGTAGGTAGGTAGGTAGGTAGGTAGGTAGGTAGATAGGTAGGTAGGTAGGTAGGTAGATAGGTAGGTAGGTAGGTAGGTAGGTAGGTTGGTAGGTAGGTAGGTAGGTAGGTAGGTAGGTAGGTAGGTAGGTAGGTAGGTAGGTAGGTAGGTAGGTAGATAGGTAGGTAGATAGGTAGGTAGATAGGTAGGTAGGTAGATAGGTAGGTAGATAGGTAGGTAGATAGGTAGGTAGGTAGATAGGTAGGTTGATAGGTAGGTAGATAGGTAGGTAGGTAGGTAGGTAGGTAGGTAGGTAGGTAGGTAGGTAGGTAGGTAGGTAGGTAGGTAGGTAGGTAGATAGGTAGGTAGATAGGTAGGTAGGTAGGTAGGTAGGTTGGTAGGTAGGTAGATAGGTAGATAGGTAGGTAGGTAGGTAGGTAGGTAGGTAGGTAGAGGCAGGTAGGTTGGTAGGTAGGTAGGTAGGTAGGTAGATAGGTAGGTAGGTAGGTAGGTAGGTAGGTAGGTAGGTAGGTAGGTAGGTAGGTAGATAGGTAGGTAGGTAGGTAGGTAGGTAGGTAGATAGGTAGGTAGGTAGGTAGATAGGTAGGCAGGTAGGTAGGTAGGTAGATAGGTGGGTAGGTAGGTAGGTAGATAGGTAGGTAGGTAGGTAGGTAGGTAGGTAGGTAGGTAGGTAGATAGGTAGGTAGGTAGGTAGGTAGGTAGGTAGGTAGATAGGTAGGTAGGTAGATAGATAGGTAGGTAGGTAGATAGGTAGGTAGATAGGTAGGTAGGTAGGTAGGTAGATAGGTAGGTAGGTAGGTAGGTAGATAGGTAGATAGGTAGGTAGGTAGATAGGTAGGTAGGTAGGTAGATAGGTAGATAGGTAGGTAGGTAGGTAGGTAGGTAGATAGGTAGGTAGGTAGGTAGGTAGATAGGTAGATAGATAGGTAGGTAGGTAGGTAGGTAGATAGGTAGGTAGGTAGATAGGTAGGTAGGTAGGTAGATAGGTAGATAGGTAGGTAGGTAGGTAGGTAGATAGGTAGATAGGTAGGTAGGTAGGTAGGTAGGTAGATAGGTAGATAGATAGGTAGGTAGGTAGATAGGTAGGAAGGCTATGTTAGCCTGCAGAGATGGGGGAAGAATAGTGCGGGTAGGGAAGGGGGGCGGCAAGAATGGTGACGAGCGTGGTGATGGTGAGGGACCAGCTACTGACAGACTCTACACATCTATGTCAACGACCTACCAGAGGGGGTATTCAGGTTCCTTTCAGAAGTGTCGTGCGAGTGGCTACCAGACATCACCTCAAGCAAATGCAACGTAATGAAGCTGGATGCTGGGTGCATTAAAGCCAGACACAAGCTACAACGCGGGAGATTAACCTCGAATGGATTCGGACATGGAAAATGACTTTAGGTTGAGACCAGAAGCAATCATCAATCTAAGATCAGAATATTATACACATCGACACGATAAAGCACCTAAACTATTGGGACCGTCTCAGAGCTGTCAAATATACTCTCTAGACAGGAGACGTGAGAAAAGTATCAAATCGTGTATATAGGGAAAATACTGGATGGCCAGTATTTTCCACCTCTTGTGTGGCTTAATCCTCATCACTCAACACCACAGTCTTACAGCGTCGGAGAATAATATAGATGTTGTCATTCTACTGTGCAAATTTGGGACCTGGCCCTCCAGTATCTTCTAGGTGTATATTATTTGAAACCTTTCTCGTCTCCTTTCCAAAGAGTACATTTTGAGAGCTTTGAGACGGTTACAATAATTTAGATGTTTTATCGTGTCTATGCGTGCCGTATATGTTCTCTGTATTCCCTCTAATTCAGAGATCTCTCCCGCTCTGAAAGGGGAAGTGAGTACCGAGCAATACTCAAGACGGGACAATACCAGTGATTTAAATAGTATTACCATTGCTGTGGGATCTCTGGATGTGAACGTTCACATAATCCATCCTATCATTTTCCTGGCCGCCGCCGCTATATTTGCTCGGTTATGTTCACTAAATGTCACGTCGTCAGTCATCATAATTCCCAGATCTTTGACATGTTGCTTTCCTTCTATGAGTAGGTCTGGTTGTGTCCTGTACCCTGTGTCCTG